TCTTGAACTCCTGAACTCCTGACCTCAGGTAATCTGCCCACCTTGGCCTCCCAAAGTGCTGGGATTACAGGCATGAGCCACCGTGCCCAGCCTCAGAGCTCTTCTTTGAAGCAGGGTTGTCATTTGTTAACTTTTTTTAAAGGTGATTTCTTTTATCTCCCTTCTTTTCTGCTATCATCGTTCCACCCACCACTCCTCCAACATCTGTCTATTTGCCCTTGCTGCCTGGGCCTTAGTAGTAGTTTTAAAATTCCTTGCAGACAGTTCTCTCCTTGAATTAATATTTATTGATGGAGCTCCTGCTCTGGTGCCGTAGGAGAGAGGGTGGGAAGAGTAAAGCTGCCCAATCCAGCTGGGGGGTGTGGGCAGGAGACTCAGTAATGACAGGGTGGTCAGGGCCAGGACAGGGCCCTGTTCTTCCCTGCTGTGAGCCAGCTGGATGAATCTAAGACAATGCAGGTGGCAATTCTGGATTGGTTGTTGGAAACAGATGTTTGGTGCTGCAAAGAAAAAGTTAGCACCGAGACAAAGGATCTCTTAGCAAGGCAATTTTACTTTCTGCAGAAAGGGTCCTTGTTAGCTATCTTGCTTCAAAAGTCAACTAACAAAGGAAAAGCGGACTTATTTATCTTATGTATTTGGGGTTGTCTCTGATTTTCTTCACCATCTAAACGAAAACTCGATTGGCTAACTACTTAAAACTTTTCTAAACAGGTAAAAGCAATGGAGAACAAAAACAAAGTCCAAATGAGGAAGGGCAGGGACTGTGAGCTGGGACGTGCCTGTGAGCACATCCACACAGATATCTTGGCTAAAGTACAAGGACACAGAATGTACCACGTGCCTGTGAGCATGTCTCACAGCTGCATAGGATACGGCTTAACAAAGAGCCACTAGCAAAGAGCAAGAAGGCTTTGAAGAAAGTCTTTAAAACAAACTGTTATTTCTAACACTTACGATTATTCTTTAACAAGAAAGGACACTTTGAAGAGGAGCTTTGCCACTTCCCACGATGGTTCTCCAACTTTCTGGTCCCAGAACCTCTTTATAGTCTTTAAAATTCTTGATAATTTCAAATACTTTTTATTTATGTGGATTTTATCTATTAATATATCCTGTATTAGATGTTAAAATTAAAAAGTTTTCTTTTTTTTTTTTGAGATGGAGTTTCACTCTTGTCACCCAGGCTGGAGTGCAATGGCACGATCTCGGCTCACTGCAACCTCCGCCTCTTGTGTTCAAGCAATTCTCCTGCCTTAGCCTCCCAAGTAGCTGGGATTACAGGTGCCCACCACCATGCCCAGCTAATTTTTTGTATTTTTAGTAGAGATGGGGTTTCCCATGTTGGCCAGGCTGGTCTTGAACTCCTGACCTCAAGCCGCCTCGGCCTCCCAAAGTGCTGGGATTACAGGTGTGAGCTACTGCACCTGGCCAAAATTGAGACATTTTCTAAAT